CACACACATACACACATACACCTACGTATGTTCGTGCGCACACACACAGACACACACACACACACACATACACACACACAATCACACACACACACACACACACACACACACACACACACACAACCGCATACACACATTCTCAATTCTCAGACAAACATGTGAACTGTCATGAGTATTCAATGAAGTAAGCAAACAACAAACAGCCACACGTCATTTCTTTCCACACAGTGGGACAGTTATTGGTGATAGGTAACAGCTGTGGGCTAGATTGTCATGTGACTTTGTATCACATGATATCTTTCTTTATCATGTGACCTCATTCGCCCCTATTGTTCTTAGATTTTTGTTCTTGAATGTACACAAACCGGGGTGCATGAATGAAAATGCATGTTATGTGCTATAGTTCTCTGAGGGACGCTACGGAAACAGTCTCTCATTGTTTTCACTAAGCAATCACAAAAACGTTTTATTTTAGAAAAAAGAAAAACACAGCACAAAACAAACTTTGATTTCACATCCTTGTCCTAGAATCTATCTCGACACAATTATAGCAAACAACATAAGTTTGTGTCCAGCGTCTTCTCAAATCGCCAATTGATCTTTTATCAACGTAAGTCATTATCATTGTCAGCTGTGTGTATTGTAATATAGATAGATCTAGCTGACATCGCAAATCACGAAAATTAATTTTTTATCCATATCTAAAACAGATAATATAACTCAGTGAGTCGTGTTTTTGGAATCTAGTTTTATACCGCTGGTGCTACCCAGAACGTCTTGAAGTGTTTATATTTCTGTTTATGTGGCATCAGAAGCGTTGGAGCGAAAATTTCTCTGGTTTCATTTTCTATGGCAACAACAACTTTGACCTCATTAATTATGATATGTCGCTGTTGATGACTCAGTTGGTTTCATCGTTTATAATGTGTAGTAATTTGTTTCTTACAATTTAGGACATGGCTACAGGATTTGGTTCAGACACTCCCAAGTCCTACGGCTCGATAGGGGAAGAGAAACGGCCTCTTTTGCACTCCAATAATGACAATAATGGACCATTCAACAATGAATCTTCCTCTGAGTCAGACAATGAATGTGGGGATAAGATCTCCTCTATGGTAAGTAGATCTAGATCTAGATCTAGATTCTAGATCTAGAATCTAGATCTAGTCGAATTTTGTATTGTTCCAGGAGTAATTACTTTGAATTTTTTTCTATTTTGTGTTTTTGTAGAGGTAGAATATATCTAATCTAGATCTAGATCTAGATCTAGATCTAGATCTAGATTTAGATCTAATTTTAGATTCTAGATCTAGATCTAGATCTAGATCTAAATCTAGATCTAGATCTAGATCTAAATCTAGAATCTAGATCTAGATCTAGAAATCTAGATCTAAAATCATGTTGATGTTTGGACTTTGTTTTTCTAGGCAGGGCGGTAGATATTCTACCAAGACCAAGGGGGCGGGGCGGGGCGGGGTTTTCCATTAACACTATTCCATCTTGATTCTAGCTAGATCTAGAAGTGTTACTTTTGTGATCAACTGTTTGCTGTGACGTTCCCGGAGAAATTTGGGCGCTTTTTCGGTAGTTCCCACCCCGCAATTGTTATTCACGGGTTTTGGCCCCAAGAATAGGGGGGTTTCAGGGGGGCTTGCCCCCCCTGACCTAACAAAAATAGGAAGGGGGGTCTCAGGGGGGCATGCCCCCCTGAATTTTACCACAATTTAATGTTTTGCTGTTGTTAGGTTTGATATCTTAGCTCACCGCGAATCAAACGTATATATCTAGATCTAGATGCAGGTCAGGCTCAAATAAGGGGGGTGGGAACTACCGAAAAAGCACCGAAATTTGGGCTTTTAATTATAAGTGGTAAACTTTTATTTTCACTCCCGCGGACTGCTTCGGGGGTCAAACTGCATTATAATACTATTTATTTGCTTAACAGGTCTCACATAAAACCACTAAAACTGTCGCAAATCAATTTTTTCATGAAAATTTAAAATTTGGCTGTAAAGTATCTAATTATGGGTAAAAACAGTGTCCCCCTGTAATCCCCCCGATTTTCTTTTACCCTAGTAAGGCACCCCCCCGTGAACCCCCCGATTGGTCGAAAGCATGTTCTCCATAGAACAATCAGATTTTCAAAAACTATTAATTTTCTATGGAAATCAAGTTGATATATTCGTGTTCAGCGCATCTGTATTTAGTAGAAAATGGACTACTTGTAGCTAAAAGTGTTAGACTGAAGGGAAAGTAAAAAAATACCTAATAAAATATTCATTTATTCCGTTCAATACCCCAGTCACAATTTCCCTGTGATGCTCATGCCCATGTAATATTTCCTTGTAGATGCAAAGTCTGCCATCCCTCGGCATAGTGACATTATATATATATATATATCTGAAAAAATCAATTTTCACAGAAATCTTCTATTGTTTCTTTCACTAGAGTTTATTGTTGCCCAGATGATTCTTGTGTCAAAGGCCCATGGCAATAATTGTCTGTCTATCTACACCTACCTATCAATAATGGCCTAGTTTTCAAACTGGTAATTTTCAGTGACTTGTCTCAATCAGCAGAGTGAAGTGTTCTACATAATTTCTTAACAACCATGTTGAGAAATGTACTCACTTACAGAAAAGTTGTGTACATTTTTATCAAGATTATGAGATGTGCAGTTATATATTCTACTTTTACTGGTACAAAGTGGCTCTCTATCAACATCGTAGCCTGTTATTATGATATTTTCACGAGAGACTGTAAATTAAAGAATCTAGAATCTATTACTTGGTTCCAGTTTACTTCATCTTCTCTTTGAGGCAGATTCAAAAGCTCTGTTCCATTACAAAAGATATAGATTTGTCACGAGTGGATTTTTTCAACCGAAAATTTTTACAGAATAAGAGTAACCTAAAAGATCAAGAATGCTTGTTTTTACACAAACAAAACAGAAGACAGAGGTGGACTTTAAAGTTGCAGACTAGTCTTCAATGAGAGCTTTCATATTGTGAACCTTTGTTGAGTAAAGTGATCTGAAGGCTCTGTCAAGCAGTTTGCTTCTTGGTGATAATTCTGTGACAATAATTTGAAGTAGTGTCGCGTCATGGCTTCACTTTGTCAGGATGCTTAAATTCAATTGTGCACAAGACGAGCTGGGGCAGTGTTAATTTCAAGATTCAAGTTTAGTGGTTTACGCAACTGTATTAGGTTGTTATATATATATATATTGTTTTGCGCAAATTGTTTTTTTACAATCTCCACCCTTTGTTTTCTTTGTTTATAAAATGTAACCACCACTTTCTTTATAATATTCTTGCGTCTCGTGTATGTGGTTAAAAAAATGTTTTTCTATAGTAGGCCTATAGCTAAAACCAAAGCAAGACAAGGAGAGTTCTGTGTAGTTACCTGCTCTTTGAGAAAAACAATACCAAAATGGTCTTCAGGTTAAGATTCAACTTTTTATTTTCTGATACTGAAAGCGAAAAGAATTAATTTATTTGTCTGTTTCAAGGATGCAGGTACTGGTCCTTGTAAAAAATGTTTAAGCGATTATTGCTGGTTATGGTATATGTACATTTGGTAAAAATAATAATATTCTCGGAACATTTGACATCTCTGAATTTTTGTACAGGGGTAATGACTTCTTAATTCAAACAGTATCTTTTAGTTGGATAAAAGATGTCAAAGATTAATTGGTTTTCCTAACCCTGTTGCATTCCTATTCCAAGTAATAACTGGAAGAGTGGTGGTCTTTTTTTACTAGTCTTCACTGGGTCTGTTGTAGCTCCACTTAATTTTCTTGAGGATTTTTTAGTCGAATAGGGATTTCTTTGTCTTCTGTCCCTGACTGAAGAAAGTTGTTCTGCTGTGTACAAGTTTTGCAACATTTCCATTGATTGGTTAATTTTTTCTGTAAATTTGTCTTTCTTCCGTATTAGTATAAATAGTGTTTTTCCTGTGAACATTCTATATTTTCCTAAGGCATTACCCAGTTTTTCTGGAGGGGCTTTTGTTCATGAAAAAAATTCTGTAGGCCCTACTGCTTTATCAGAACATTTAATCTGAACGTAAGTTTGCAGCTTTTTTATTGATCAAAAGTAAAAATTAGAAGGCATAAATAAACTCACTCAATCTTGAGAGTTTTTCCGGGATGCTGTACAAATTTGGCCTTTTTGGGGCTTACAATTTTTTTTCATTGCCAAATGAGCAAGAGCAAGCCTACATTGATATTCAAATATGCTTCTGAGTATCTAGTTCTATATATTGTATGTCATATAAAATAAAGATTGTTGAATACTTTCATGAATAGAAACAAAATGTAGGCTTATGTGTGAGAAAGGCAGAGAGAATCGATTGAAAGACGTGCTCAGCTGATCAGTGTGAACAAAAGTGCTGAAAGTGCCTTCTTAAAAACCGCGATTTCTCAGTTTGTAATGACAGTAGAAGCAAAATTCCAGCCCCCCTCTATGCATAATTGGCCGGGAGAATAATAAATTGATCTTATTATATATAAAACTTGAGGCCGTTTTCCGAAACAAAATGACTAGTGTACGGAACAAAATTATAGAACCAAGTTATCTCAGTTGTGGGATTGAACGCAACCCACAAGCTGACCGAGATATCTCGGTCACGGGATTGAGCGAGTTGAAGATTTTTATTCCGACTGCTTGATCTAAGAAACTTAAGAAAGTAATTGCTCTTTGTTTTGGATAGTTGCCACAGCTTGACAACATTATGATAATCCTCTTCTGATCAACTAGAACTCTACCTGTATACAGACTCTATCCCTTTTAATTTTACACTTATTTTCAGACTAAATTCATTTGCATGTTCCTTCTTTTGTGATATCTGAGTAACAAATCGATATAGTGTGGTGACTGAGAGTAAAAAGTGCTTTTTATGAAAAAAGTTTAGCCAACACAGTAAGTGATAGAATTCCCGGTCTGTCTTCAGATTTTTAGACTCCAACCACCAATTGTTAGGGCAGTGATCCCTGTAATATTTATCCTCTTGAACTGAGCATTGACAGAAATCATCAGTGTTATAAAAGATCATATTTTGAATCAGATGAGCATGAGAAGTACAATGTATACTTTGCTGGCATAAATGTCTCAGTGCTTGGTGAAGGAAATTATAACTGGTTGGTAATAATTATTACCTCCCCTTTTGCTTTGTGTCTATCTTTATTTTATCATCGGCGTTGCAACAGAGAGAAAATCTTTTTCTCTCGTCTTATAGAGCAGTGTCAAACCAAGTAACTTAAAAAAAAAATAGAGTCAATATAGTAGCCAACTTTTTCCTATCATTTGTAAAAGCTTGAGAATTTTGCTTTCTGTTGGACAGGATTTTTATTGTCGTATAGATCTGTTTTTGTCGTTTTTGAGTTTTGTATTGAATCCTACGTCATTCTTCAAAATTTGGACTCAAAAATTTGATTTTCTCATGTCTTCTTTTTTGTAACTATGTGAATATACACATTGGACAAGAAAACACACTATCACAAACAACTGAATACAGTACAAAGGACTTGAAAGGTTGTACAAACACAAACATCCATGCTCATTAATAAGACGTGATAGTTCTTCATTTCCTAACGTTTATTTCACTTTAGATGGAATCCTAATTGTAAGGCTGGGAAGTTCCGAAGTAAGCCTCAACTCAAAACATGCGCTTTATATACTTTATTATTCTTTTTCTTGCTTCTATACCCTGCTTTATAGATCAGATATTTATAAAAAAATATAATTTGCTAAAGTTACTTCAAGTGCTCGTGAACTAAGGAAAGTTGTTAAAGTATAAGTGCTAATTTAGGATGTAGGCCATATTATTGCTTCACCTAGTTGACTTTGCCTCTCATATAACATATAATATGATACTTGTTGTCTGGAAAGAGAATAAAATTAAGTGTAAGGGTTAGGGCAATGAAAGTTGAAATCAATTCTGTTATTATTTCTGTAAATGGTTTATGTGAGTACAAAGGTGGCTTTCTTTTCAGTCGACAAAAAGACTCAATTTCTTCTGTCCCTTTTATCCATTAGCATGATAAACGTTGAAGTTGTTTAATTCAATAGTTGACAGACAACTTTGGTTGTTCTTATATGAGTCAGCTGCCTGG